GGGCTTCCAGGGTACGGCAACTACTGCAAATGAACAGTCTTAGAATGCGGGCTGTTGAGGTCGTAAGAACTATCATGTTCAAGCTAACAAAAGCACTAGACGTGACCAGTGCTGTCAAGAATGTGCGCTGCATCAAACCAAGAACAAAACAGATCCAAGTATTTCTTCGTTGCATTGCTGTTCTACGCTTTCAGCTAGCCTGAATAAGTGTCTTTGCAGCCGACCATTTCATTGCGACTTATGTAACGTATCAAATCATCTGGTTTCGAAGACTGCGTAGGCTTTTACCTCAGCGGAACATCACTTGGGCTACTTTCTACCAGATACTGTTTTTGTCCTCAAATGGCGTCCCTCAAAGATAACGAGTTCGATTCGACGAGGAACAAATTTTCAGCGCTTATTTGCAGTTATGCTAGAAAACATGTAACTTGATGGCTCAACCTGGAATCCGCACAACCATTTGAAAATCATGTCTATTCAAAACGCCGAGCTGGCCTGTTGTTACTAGACTGAAAAGAATGGTATGTTTCAAATGTTAGAGTCATCTTCCGGTTCGCGCGCATGATAAATTTTATATGCATTTGACTCGTGCCACTTCTCGGGATGTTAAGGAATAATGAAAAAAGATTGGCATTATTTTCAGGGTTGAGTATAATTGGGCAAGGTAAGTTCCCAGTTTCCGAAGTTACAGATCAAAAACGATTTCACAAAAACAACATGGACGGGCAGATTTTTCAGCCATTGCTGCTTCGGCAAAGTATCACAAACCGTAGGTGAAAAAATTTTCACCTCCTGCAACGGACCACTCTTCTGTAAATACACAGGTACCATGTGTGTCTTGCTTCGTTTCTGACTTTAGGAAGAAACTCCAGCTTAAAATGGTTCCGTTGCTCAGAGTAATTCTCGGGGATATGGCTCATTCAGAGGTTTCGCAAACGAGAGGAGCAGCTCTTAAGTTCATGACGGTTGAAATAAGTGATAGGGAAGCCAAAGATGTGAACAAAGAGGTTGTCTTTGGAAAGCCAAGTGAACGAGACTCAACCTCAGACCCAAATGCAGGCCTAAATTGCGTCAACATATGAGGGTTGTCATGATTCTGGAATCGTCCGTGAGCGGGACGGTGGCTTTCTGCTATGGTACCGAAGTTTTTTTAGGTGGCTGGTCTGATCATCAACAAATATATTCTCACGTCAAGTATAAAATATGGGCAAGAATCTGCTGTGTCGATATGAGCCAGCAAACGGATGCTGGAACTTTTAGCCTGAACATGAAAATGCCTCTTGACATCGGAAGTACTCAGGTACTCAGTAGCATCTCGCCCTCAGCGAAGCCATTCTTTCCATACTGTAAGTAATAACATTATTCCTAAACAGAAAGAGTATAGACTTTAAGGCGTCCGGTGACTCGTGAAACAATTTACCAAGTTTACTAGACAAGAGTTGGTAGAACAGGTAAGGTAGAAAACAGACTCCAGGAGATTCAACGTAAGGGTGAACAACTGATAAATTTGACAAATGGACTTGCATCGTTGATAAGTTTCACAGATGCCATGACAAAAGCACATGTTACTCTGCATATTGCTCAACAGGCCCAAACAGTCGTTACGGCAGAATGGTGACAAAGGCAACGTGGATCAAATTTCAGCACAATGTTCGAGAAAATAGTCTGAAAATGTATGTTCAACAAACAAGACATTCACTCTCATCAAAAGTGAACAAACAGGTTAACCGAGGCTAGCGACGAAGCAAAGATGTCTACTTCAAACAAGTCAGGCTCATAGACAGTAAATGTCGATGGTAGATGATTTCTGCAATTCTAAAATTGTGATTTGATCATATCTGTGCATTTTCTGCAGATGACTGAACAGTAATTTTATGGTGGAACAGACACGTTTGTGGGATTACAGCTTGAACTCCAGAGTAGTGGCCAGTACAATTACATAACCCGTACACGCACACTGAGCTAAGGCATCCATCCACGCTGGTCGCATCTGACTGCCAACTAATCT